TGCGCCCATGGCTGAAAGGGCGAGCAAGTTTGGTGGGATGGGGATTCGAACCCGCGACCCTCAGATTGCGAGTGAAGCGCCCTAACCATCTGGCCATGTCAGGCTCATTCTAACTGTTTTATTAAATTTCGAAAATGTAACTAAAGAGTTTACCAATACAAAATGAAGAGAAAAATGTTGTGAATGTTAACATTGTTAAAATTGTGAATTTTATGTTATATCTATCTATCTATAATGGCATCATTAGGGGGTCTTTATGTGTTCCACATATTATTATATTTATCTTGACCAAATTTCGAAGGCACTCTTAGATCACTGGGAAGTGAAATGGGGGTTGAGGTTTCGAGTTGGCTCCATATTTCAGCCACCAAGGGTTTCTTATGTCTTTGGTGTGTTGAATGGGTACATTAGCTAGAATTATACTAAATAAGTCACCACAAGTCAGATCTTGCGGTTAAACTATTACTCCGATTAAACTGATACCTTCCACTTTAAAATGTAGCACATACAAAATGTACGATCATTCTATACTTTTAAGCAATTAATGTGTGGTAATAAGCACTTGTGAAATCTGCAGAGTTAAAGCTAGATTAGACTATGTTACATTGCATGTGACCAGGCACTTTAACAAATCTTGAATAGAGATTCAAAACAAAGGGTGGCATTGTTAGGGTGACTTTGAACAGGGATAGAGTTCAGCAGTGGACTATTTCACACCAGGAAAGGGCTTCCATTACCAGACAATGTGAGGAAATAGCAGAAAAGAATGCAGAAATGAGAAAAAGAAAATATCTTGAGTAGAAACGAATACAGTCAGGCTAGACAGCTATCACGATTATTTCTACTGTAGACTCAATGATTAACCCCCTTTAAACAGTCACAAGAATCTTGTTTGCATCAGTTCTGGGATGATTGCTATTATTAAAGTGAAACTCAATTAATACTGAGGGGGGGGGGGAATAAGATGCAACTCTAACATTAATGACTGAAAATTTGCTTTCTGACAAGGAAGACTTTTATGCACCCCTAAAATCACAAGAATTGAAAACTTTTTCTACACATAATAAAAGTATCAAAGGTGGTGAAGAGATATGCACGTGTAATCAAAAGTTATGTGCTAAAATTCTTGTCATTTTTCAAAAAAAGAATAATGGTCATAGAAAACATGCTCTTCAATTTACTCGGGAAAGTTTCCTTTCCTCTAGCCAGCAGAGATAGAACTCTTAAACTAATAAGTCTGGTCATGGATGTCATTCAAAGCATAGCTCAATGTCACACTGACACTGTACCAGGTAATGGTGCCTGATTATTGATGGTATGACATTGATTCAGGTCCTTAGAAACATTCCACCCACTTTTGATGAACTGGAAATTAACATCATTGATCAAATTATCCCACTGTATAATAATTCCCAATGGCTATGGGTTGACTTTTTTGACAGAAAGCATAAAACATATTGAGTACTCTAGCGAGACAGAGTTCATACGAATCTATAATGCCAGCCAAATTACTGCAAACCAATGAGGGAAATTCCTTGCACTTGTAAAGAGTAAAAATGGCTCTAGACGAATTCTTGTTTTCAATCAGCCACAAACTCTCACGTTATTATAAGTGCTGTCCACGAACTTTGCAGTGATTAAGAAGAAGTCAATATTAGGATACTTTCACACACAAACATGCCAGCTATAATTGAGACAACATTATAATCAAGGGTTATGGCACAAATATGTTTATGATAACTATAGGACTTCGGAATTCATCTGATAAATTTCTATGATTTTGGAATTTAACTGCAAGCGCCTTTAAAATAAACAAATAACGTTAGAGAACAGAATACAATAAGTGAGATCGTGTGCCACGAATTTGCTTCATATAAAAAAGTCAGACACACACAAGTTCCACGTAATTACAGATAGCTTAACATTTCTTATTCTAGTGAATTACAACGTAGGCCTAACATCAGGCCTTGTTTTTTTTTAGTGGTCGTTCAAGTCTTAGTAACAGACAAGTACCTCCAATAATGCAAATTAACTCATTACTAAAGTTTCTGGTTAACTCAATTTCTTTTCCATTTAACTGAGAAATATTCATTATAAGAACACTATAGGTATACTTATTCATTGAAAATCAGTGTTAACTTTTATAAGCTTCTGTCAGACTGCGGAAAAAGGGCTAACGTATTAGTAATAGTATAAGCCAGGCTGGAAAGCCATTTTTTTAACGTACCTTGCGGGACACACCGTATGAAAAAAAGTTAAATTTAAAAAGACTGCGGTTTCTTTAGCAATTTAATTAAGCTACTTTTTTGTTTATGTTATACCAATTAGTGTAGCAAAAAATCTCAACTAATAATCCATATTTTAATATTATACAAGTTTTAAGTTCTTACATTTATAAGACAATATTAAAAATACTGAATTTCTCCTAGTGTGAGAAATGTAATATTTTTTCTCTCTACATCTCCTCTTCTTTAAATTATCCCTCCAATAAGTACGAAATTCAACGTAAATTACTCAATATAATATCGTCATCGCTCAAACAAAGCATAATTTTCCTAGGCTTCGATCTTGTTTGATTACAGAGCCATCAAATAGAAAATCAGACCCTTCTTGTCACACTCACCTGTCAACAATATGCAAATTTTGTAACTCGAAACATTTTAAGAAGGAAATACCATATGATAGTAAATTCAAAAACCGTTGCTGTAAAGGGAAAGTAAAACTCGAAGAAAGAAGTTATGCCAAAATCTATACTTTCCACATTACAAAACTTCCAAAACAACATTTGTTCATACAACAGTGCCTTATCGTTCGTATCAATGGGAGCAAAACTAGCTGACGTTCGAGGTAATGGACAATAGTTTTTTTAGAGATAATGAACAAATTTATCATTGATCTTCTTATTTGAATCCACAAATAAGAGCCACGTAAGTTTGCTTAACTGTAAATTCTTGATATTACTGAAGCAATGGAAAAGTGATTTAATGATATTGGAAATATAATGTAATGAAAAAAATCGACAAAATTATAAGAGAAGGGATCTATTTGTTGAGGTATACAAAATTGTAAATGAAATTGACATATAAGATCGAGAAAAAGTATTGTTACGTCTCTGGTCGTTTAGTTAATTTTCCGTAAAAATTATTTCCGAAGAAACTTTACCGATACAAGTCCTTTCTTAAATAAAACTGGTTTATTCTTTCTGAATACAACTTTGCAATACACTTAATTTCCACAGTCCCGCTATAACAAACGCTATAATTCACAATGACGCCTCACGTGCTCGACTCAACAATATGTCTCTCTGTCCGCAGTTCAATTACACAGCATTACATTATTGCCGTCTCGTCTTGACCGGTTTATATATACTAGACTACCGCATATCTAGTAGGCTCTCGAGATTTCGGGAAGGGACGTGAACGTTCGAGAATATGACGTGTAACTAGCGTCACGTGACTCCCGCTGTCGTAACAATATTTTAGATATGAGATACAGCCAAAAATCTTTT